GACAGAAGGGGCACTTGTTTCTGATCTGCGTCAGTTTAGCACCTCTCGCTAAGCCATGGGTCTACAGGAGGATCCTGGATGGAGCTATGTGTGTGTGTCCCTCTTTCTGTTTTCCATAAAGGTGTCTTATGAACAAAGGCCCCGCTGTCCTGATGGTCTCTTCATATCTTTTCTCTCTGCGTGTCTGTGTAGCCAGCCTTCTGGACATCTGTTCAGCCCTCCATCAGAAGCTATGAGTTATAGAACTAACCAGCCTCGCGTCAGCGTCTTGGGTGTGCAGACAAAGCCCTGGGCTCTTCAGACTCTGAGACTAAAGGGAATTCATTAGTCCTTCCACACCAGGGATGTGGAATATGGGTCACGACTGGTGTGACAGGCTAGGGGTCAAGGGTGATTTATTCAGCCTGATCTTGTCATTGTTTTTTTTTTTTTTTTTTTTTTTAACTTAGGAATATGGTCTCTTTACAAAAGAACTCTTGAAAAGCCAAATGCCCTATAAGGTGACTCACATTGGTTAAAAACATATGCTTCAGACTCCTGTGCTGAAAACCATGTTTTAAAAACCAATATGGAAAACTGTATCTAGAAATTAAATATCCTGACATATTTGTGCCTTTGTATAATTCTATTTGTTTCTTTTTGGCCGTGCTGGGTCTTCGTTGTCGTGAGGGCTTTTCCTCTAGCTGTGCTGCGTGGGCTTCTCGTTGCCTCGGCCTCTCTTGCTGGGCTCTGGATGCACAGGCTTCGGTAGCTGGGGCTCATGGGCTTAGTTGCTCCGAGGCACATGGGATCTTCCCGGACCAGGGATCGAACCTGTGACTTCTGCATTAGCAGGTGGCTTCCTTACCACTGAGCCACCAGGGAAACCCTATCCACTATGTTTGATTAACCAAAAATTTTTTTTGTTTCAGTTTCCCCCAAAGGTAAGATTTTCTTGAACTACGAAAACCTCAAACCAACTTTTTATAGGACGGTAAACTTTGTGTCTACTATTCTGCTTTATCTGTTTGTAATGTAATCTCTTCTGAATTTTTGCTTGTGACTACATTCCTTTTTCAGTCAAATCAGTGTTGCTCCTAATTAGAAATTTAAATTACATCTGCTGTGGTTTATACACACCAGGGGATATATTTATGTAATACTTTTATCCAGCCAAGATATTCTTCATAACTTCAACATAACATTTTTTCATAGAGTGCTTATTGATGAGACCTTATAAAAAACATGCAAGAAAGTACACAAGAGAGACAGTTATGTAGCTTAGGAGAGTGCTCACAAGGCAAAGAATTCTTAAATATATATTTTAATGGTACAGAAAAACACTTCTCCCTTGTCACATGCTAATCTTTATACGTTCTCCCTTATTATATGTCATGGATGTGGGCTGTTGGAAAGTGAGAATAATCTTACAAATGGAGATGTTTCATTAAATTTCAATGAGGTAATTAAGGAAACTCATTTTCAAAGATATACATTTATTTCAGTGGCTTTTGAATGTTGCTTAATCAGGAAATGACTGGAATACTAAATATAGTTAGGTTGGGCTCGTCTCCATCAGCAGCTTTGAGAGTCAGGCTGTTGAAAGGGACGACATGGAGGTTAAAACAGCAGAGCCCTTTGCTGTGGGTGGAAACTAATTGGCTGAAAACATGAATAAGTTATACTTGTTATTCATGTCAAGGAAAAGCTGAGAGAGTAGAGATGAATATTTGTGTCTACCCAGGCATTAGGCTGTGCCACAGGATATTAAAAAATAAAAAGCCAATCCTTAAACTTAAGCACCTCTTCCTACAGGAAGGAAGAGGAAGAGAGGCTTCATTACTTGGCCAATGCTTTCCTCTGAATATTATGTTTCAGCTTTGACATTTTCAGCCAATAAAATACTGCTAAGAAGGTTGCCATGGAATTCTTTAACATAAAACATTTATTACTGGGACCACTGTCCTTGAGCCCAGGGTTATATTTAAATGTTTTCCATTAAAAGCCTCTGATTTCAAGGCTAGAGAATTCTCCTTTTCTCATGGCCCTGTTCTGAGTCTGGGTACTTGTCAGCTACCTGTGTTGGCCATAGATTAATCATAGTCCTATTTAATCTTAAGATTAAAGATTCTAGTGTGATGTTGTCACACTTAAACTTAATTAGATATTGTAGAATAAAATCTGTTACAAACTGTTTTTTTTCTTTACAAACCTTTCCTGAAAATTTCATAAGAGAGATTCATGGAATTTGGAAAATTCTCTATGAAGCTTCTCTTAGCAAACATCCTTGTGGTCTGCTCTGATGGTTTCATGACTTGTTCCTAAGTGTGCATGCTCAATCACTCAATTGTGTCCAACTCTTTATGACCCCATGGGCTGTAGCCCTCCAGGCTCCTCTGTCCTTGGGATTCTCCAGGCAAGAATACTGGAGTGGGTTGCCATTTCCTTCTCCAGGGGATCTTCCTGATCCAGGGATCAAACCAGAGTCTCTTATAAGTCTCCTGCACTGGCAGGTGTAAGCTCTGTTAAAGGGATTGTATCTGTTTTTTGGTATCTCTCCTCTCTTCTCATAAGCCCCTAACACACAAGACCATAGTGGGTGCTCAGTTACATTTATTTGCTTTGCTTGGAAGTCTAGCAAGAGGTGGAAGTTAAGGACAGTCATATTTTATGTTTTCTACTTTGAGATGAATATTTGGCTCCAGATGCCCCCCTGGTTTAAGTCAAAAGCGCTTTTTGAGTCCAACACAATTGCTAAAAAAAACCTCATGATCTTTGGCATATGATTTAACCTCTATGTCTTTATCAATATTTATGAATCCTTCAATTCCCTTTTGGGGCTTCCCAGGTGGCTTAGTGGTAAAGAATGTGCCTGCCAATGCAGGAGCTTCAGGAGATGTGATTTCAATCCCTGGGCCAGGAAGATCACCTGGAGGAGGAAATGGCAACCCACTCCAGTATTCTTGCCTGGGAAATTTCACGGAGAGAGGAGCCTGGTGGGCTACAGTCCATAGGGTCGCAAAGAGTCAGACACGACTGAGCGACTGAGCATGCATGCACAGTTCCCTTTTAGTCCAGGTATTTGAAGACAGCTTGATTGATCTACATCCCTGCTTCTCAAAGTGTGGTCCCCAGATCCAGAACATCATCATCATCTGGGAATTGTTCAAAATGCAAGTTATAGGTTCCTCCCTCCCCCACATACTGGTTGAATCAGAAACTCAATATTTTATAAACCCTCCAGGTGATTCCGATGCATGCTAAAGTTTAAGAACTACTGATTTGCGTTGTAGTCAAACCCCTGGTATGTTGAGAAGCTCCATACCATAATGTGAGGGGACCTTAAGGCTTCTGCAGTCATTTCATCCTTGGCATTTAAATCCAGCACCTTATGTTTCATCTTTAAGGCCCTGCCGAATGGCTCACTGTTGCATCATATTCAAGTCTGCAGGTACGACCCACAGAACTGCAGCTCTCAAGCTTCTATCAAGTGTGGGCACTTGAGTGCAAAATCTTTCTGAGGGTGAACAAAAATATGCAATGGACAAGGGATTAATCTCCAGCGGCAGCCTCCTGATTTTGTATTCATCACGTTGTACGTATGTGAGGCTACACAGGCAATGTCTGCTGATATCCGTTAGGAAGTTGGGCACCCAGTAGCCACATTTGCATGCAGAGGGGGTTGCACACCTCCCGTGTACAAGTCTAAAATTAAAGCTCAGTTTGAAGCTGGCTGAAGGCTCACTGCTAGGAAAATAATGAGATAAGGAAGAAACGGCTTCTGTTAATCAGCACTTTTGGCCTCTACTGTTCAATCTTTGCTAATTTGTCCTTTGAAATGGTACATTCTGTGTTGGACAGAGACTTCTAAGAGTATCGGGGATTTTTTTTTTAAGGCCTACATTTATAAGCTGATTGTATTTATTCCATAACATTTCCCCTCATACTGTACCCATGTGTATGCTGCAGTTGGTGGCTGTGTTATATTTTTGCTGTATGAAGTATTCATACTTTTGTGGGATAACATGCATCATGACAAAGAAGAGCCACCGCAGGCACAGACTCGCAGACTGGGGTCTGTGGTATCATTTCATTTCAATTCCGTCCACATTCATCAAGCAGCTACTTTGTGCCAGGGGCTGGGCATATACAGATCAATCAAGCGGAGTTTCTGCCTGCAAAAGCTCGCAATATTTGAACAACTTCTTGTATCTCAGTGGTGAATATTTTTGCCTAAATGAAGTTTCCCCTAATTCCTACTCCCTCCCCACCCGCTCATCCTGTGCCAGTGAACTGAAGTGACTCTTTGCTCCTCTGAGCTCCTGATTATGCTCAACCTGTGTCCCCAGGAGAATGAGGGGCCCAGTGGTACCTGCCTGGAAGTCAAAGCCCCAAAACCCAAGACTGTGGCCATTTGGCCACTCAAATGGGTCATTAAGAAGAGGTCTCTGCACTGCAAACGGCCCCTACACCCAGTTTGCGGCAACAAAAAAGGGGTGTTTCCTGTATTCCCAGTGTGGGTGACATGGGAGAATGCCAGTCATCTCAAGTGGATGCACCCACGAGGGACACCTGGAGGAACAGTGGACCCCTGTGGTTTACCGAGAGCTAATGGTGAAGTAGTTACTTGTCAGGCTTCACCAGCTGCTTTATGTTTCCATATTTGGCCAGGTGTTCTGGTTTTACTTTGACAACTAGATTGTAAGCGCCTGGAGAAAACACTTGGGTCTTTAGAGGCAGATTATCTTTCATACTACCTATTTGATGGTGATGATCATAAATACAATACATTATCAGAAATAATATCTGGTGGTTTATATGCATTAATAATTTCCCATGGGGACTTCCCTGGTGGTCCAATGGCTAAGACTCTGTGCTCCCAATGCAGGGAGCCTGGGTTTGATCCCTGATCAGGAAACTAGATCCCACATGCTGCAACTAAGTTCTGATGCAGCCAAATAAATAAGTATTTAAAAAAATAATTTCTCCTGATAATTGATTTTTTTTTCTCTTCTTTCTAGCACAGGTGCATATACCTTGATAGCACCAAATGAAAAACGAAGAAATGAGATACAACAGAGTATGTATATTATTTAACACTCAAAATACTGCTCATTTTCTTACAGAGTAGAATTGGCTTGCATTGGTCTGAAGAATTTTTAGTTTCTGATCTGTATAGACTCACTAGAGCTCATTTTTTTTTTTCCTTTTCAAATTTTGGCAATTTTAATTATACCTTTTAAAACTATTTTATTGTTAATGCTTCTAAATTTGTTTCTCTATGCTAATAGCAGAACTCATTGCACAATCATAAATCTGAGGTTTCTGTTGCAGTTAAACAATTTCACACCTATTGCCAATAGACCTATCGAGTTCCTGCAAAATTGGGCTCACTTCAGATATCTTTACAGGACTAGGAACACTTTTGAAAGGGACAAGTGATACATGAAATAGATTATAAGGTAATCTGTCTTTTTCCTGGATGTGTCCCATTCCTGCTTAATGAAATTTTTCTCTAGTTTCTCTGCTCCTGTAATTTTGTAGCCAGCAGAGTCTAACCTCAGCTGCTTTTATTGGTGACTTCACTTTCCTTCTCTAGATTATAAGCTCTCTGAGGGCAGGGCTGCATCCTGCTTGTTTTTCTGCTCCTTGTACCTAGCGGACATATAACATGATTAATGTTGTATTAATGTCACGGTAAAATATGTGCTGCCGTTTATTTATTTTATTTATTTTTTTTTTAATTAATTAATTAATTTATTTTATCACAACCATAGTGTATCTTTTTTTTTTTTTTTTACATGTATCCCCCATCCCACTCCCCCTGTGCTGCCGTTTAAAGTGACAGCATTATATTTTTGAGTTAGGAGGAGAACTAAAGTTCATTTCATTCACAAAGAAGTTTCTGAGGCTTGTTCAAGTCAGCTATGGGGCTAGCACTGAGATCCTGTGCTCTCCTTTCCTGACCTTACTAGGAAATTTGATTTTGTATTGATCGATGAACATAAGGGCACGACAGGAAGGCAGGTCTCTAAAGGCCTTCACTGAAGTAGCCTCCTGGGTGGTATATCTGAGTCTGTGCAGAATATGACGGTTACAGCTGTGCGGACATGGTGACTGTGGGTACTGCCTGCAGTTGACCAAAGGAATCCCAAAGATTCTGGCATCTTACAAGTTTTTTATTTAAATGGTCAACAGGAACTTAAGCCTTAGTGTGGTCTGGATTTTTGAGATGTTTCAGAAGTTTTTTTTTCCCCCTCTAATAATTAAAAAATATAAATGGATGTTTGAAATAATCACGTCTCATGAGGTACCTTGGATAAAACAGAACTAGTGCCTCTGGCGCCCCCTGCTGCCAGTCAGAGTATACTTGGGGAAGTGGGCACTGCTCCAACAGGGAGTAGTCTCAGCTTAACGGGCCCAGGTACTAGGAATCGGAGAGCCCTCATTCCTCATGTTACAGTAATCTTGGGGAATATTTAAAATGCAGTGGATACAGGCATCAGAATTCTATGGGGGTTTATGTTCACTGTGTGTGCAAAGTTCTTATTGCCACATGAATGTTTTGCATACACCCTATAGGAAACTTTTAACATTAAATGATGTGCGCTTAGTCACTTCAATCGTGTCCAACTCTCTGCGGCCCTATGGACCATGGCCTGCCAGACTTCTCTGTCCATGGAATTCTCTGGGAAAGAATACGGGAGTGGGTTGCCATTTCCTTCTCCAGGATTAAATGATGTAGAGTTTGAAAAATGCCAGAATGGGAGGAAAAACTAAACTTCTTTATTTAGCAGGAGTTCAGGTTGTTTTCACATTTGTACTTCCGTGCCAACTCTTGGAGAGAAAGTGCCTAACCCCAAGGGGTTAAGACTGGGTGGTGGCTTCCTTTCCTGGATATTTCACCCACTCATGCCCGCATATAGTTAAATGTCCATCTCAGGGGAGCCGTTTCCTTTTCCCACTCTAATAATTGATGATTTAATATTTCTCACCTGACTTAGTGGCTGCAAAAGAGCTGGAGGAGCTGGAAAGGTGGAAGAAACAACAAAGGGTGAAGTCCATTAACCTGCTGCCCATGACGCTAGGTAAGCCACCAAGCCAGTTGCTTGAATGCAGGAGGACAGGGCTGCCCAGAGATCCGCTTAGCACCTTGCCCACATCTGTCTTTCAATGTCCGTTATAGGTCTTTGGGTCATTGTGCTGCTTGAAATGAAATGCATTTAAAGTCAAAACATACATTTAGGGTCAAAAGTATGCAGGTAGACTGTTCTTTCTGACTCTCTGCAAGTAGCAAACAGATGATGCCACAGTTATAGGGGAATAAGAAGATGGCTTAATTGCCAAATAATTTACAGCCTCTTAGTTGATCAGCTCTGAAGATATCTTACCTGGGGCGTTGCATATGCCCCGTCATAGTTTTTACTCCCATCCTAATTAGTGCTATCACAAGCATATTAATCATGGCAGTTAACTGGTTTCGGGAGAAAAAATTGGAGGGTCAATTCCAACAGTAAGATGTCAGTGGGCTGGGGACAGAGGGTAGGTATAAAGATAATATCACCTGTGTTTTCATTTGCAAATAGAGACTTTTGGGCCTCTGGAGCACATGGCAGTGTGGTAAATTGCCTGGGCTACCGCTGCCTGGTGTTTGACTCACTCAACACGGAAGTCCTCTCTTGCGAAGCGTTCACATCTTCTTTCTGCCAGCAGCAGCTGGGAGCTTAAAGGGCTGGACTCACAGTTCCCACAGCTTTAGTTTGCACAAATGTGGTAGAATCAGGAGCCACTGACTCTCACAGTAGTTTGCAAGAAGTACTTTTTCCAAGATATTGGTAAAAATAAGCTCATTTGGTGATTGTGTACAAGCGATAGCATTATCATGATCATCCCACTGTATTTCATGAACAGGGTTCATCTCATGTCACCTTTATGCTGAATAAGCTGCATTTGAGGGGTGCAACCTGGAGGACAGCTCTGTCCTTCCTAACTGGCCCCCTCAAACTAGTTATCTAGGTCTGTTTTTTTCCTATGTTCTTTGGATGAAATTAGATCTTTTTGGTCTTTCTCAAATAATAAAGTTGTTCAGCTAATTCTAGGCATAAAACTGTCTTTTCAGTAAGTTCAGCCCTAAATACTGGTCACAACTCTATTGCTAATAGAGATTAAAGCTTCTTCCCTGTTCCAGCCTGGGCCTGCTTTCCTTTTTTTTTTTTGCCAGACCATGTGGCATGTGGAATCTAGTTCCCCACCGGGGGTCAAACCTCTGCCCTCTGCAGTGGAAGCATAGAGTCCTAACTGCTAGACCATCAGGGAATTCCCAGCCCGGGCCTCTTTTGGATAGAAAGTTGGCAAAGCAAATGAGTGTGACTGATTTTTTCTCTGTTGACTCCTGTTTCTCTTATTGATTCCTCCTCCTTGTGGGTCAAAGGAAGAAGAGGAGGTTATGGTCTCTCTTGCACCGATCCCAGTTTCCTCAAGTTTTGGGGTGTGTTTGCTGTGCATCTCAGCCCTGAGGTCTTTGAAGTTCTTCAGAGTCCCCCTTTTGCCCGCCATCCATCTCTCACCTGGCTTTCCCTGATACAGATGATACTTTCTTGCTGGCAGTGCTTGGCTTCACTGTTGGCTCCTGGTAGCTACACTATCTTTGTAGAGCTCCACTGTGCCTCTGGAGTTGTCCACATGGGCAAGTCCCTTTTAAGGTGACTTTAGATTGGCATTCTCTTTCATGACAACCAGATTGGGAGTGTGGGAAACTCTTCCCACAAACTCTGAGAATACAGGCCATTTGCCCTGTGGCCACTTCTTCTTGATGACCAGTCTGAGGAGCCACCTGAGGACAGCCATGTGCCTTCTGGCACTGTCTTTCCTAAGCATGGGTCCCTCATTCTTTTGGGGACATAGCTTGAGCTCTTCAAATGAATTTCATTAAATCTCTCTTACTCACATTGAAGACGTGAAGATTCTTCCTTCCCCAAACACATACTCAGAGAAGATGAAATTCACAGAGGTATCTTTTCTCTGATTTCTACCTCCCTTTGACCTAGCTAACCTCTTTTATGGGCTGAAAGTGGTTGCCAGTTGATATTGCCCAAACTGGTTTTAAGTTACCCCCTTGCAGATCCTGCTTAGGGAGCCAAGCACTTGCCTTGGGAATTTGGAGATGTTGGTGTCTATTGTCTTGGGGTCTTAACCAAAAATGATCAGGAGTTCTGGTATCTGGTGTATCTAGGAATGGTCAAGAGAAAGAGGGCACAGAGTAGAAAAGAGTTCTAGGATATATTAAACTTTGAGATGAGTTTTAAAGGAAAACCTGTAAATGCTTAGACATCTGATTTTCTCCATGTTTTAAATTCTCAACTCCTCCTCTATTCCTCTACCCCTTAAAATGTTGGAATGGTTCTAGGAGATAAAAGTAGCTGTAACATTAGATAAAAGCTTCATTAGGCCTCACTGTTTCTTTCCTTAGGGCCAGGACCAAACAGGTATTATAGATCTTTTGGGACTCAGAAGTCTCTATGGTGTCTTTAACTGTTTAATTATAAAAACTATGATGAATGCAAATTGTATTAATGCATCTTCTGTGTAAGTGAATCTTTCAGAGAACTGACACTTTTAGTGACCAAAGCACCAGAGAATTATTTCAAAGGAATCTTTAAAATGTGCATGCCAAGCTTGCATAAACACTGAGAACTACCTAAACAGTAATTCTTAGATGCCTGTCAAGCTGCAAGGATTTCTGGCCCCTGGTTGTTATAGGTTTAAGAAAGAGCAGATGAATAATCTAACATCCATATTTTTTCTCTTGAATACCTAAAGAAAGAACAATAAATAGTATGGACTGACCATTAATTTTACCTAGAATATTCCCATTGTACTTAAAAACTTGGTTGTAAAGACTGTATACTTGTCTCATGGCAAGACCTCTCAGGATTTACTGAGCTTTGCTACTTGAATACAGGGCAGTAGAATCAAAAGAAGAAAACCATTGGAAACATCATTGATTATCATCTTTATTAGGTTAAGAAATGGTCATACTCTAGCAAGAAGAACATTCTAGAATTTCTGAAGCACTGTTTCTTATTCAGCATGGACCTTCAGGTGTGATTTCAGTCTATGTAAAAGCTTAAATACCTACATGATTGAAAAACCCTTGTAGCACTGTCCTCTTATTGGGGGAATGTGGCCTTATCTTTCTTTAATGCAATTACTGTTGTTTAATGTCTCACTTGAAAAAATTGGTTAAGTTACCGGTCAAATTTGGGTCTGCTTGCCCCTCTGCAGTAAAGCTAGTCTACTGACACCGCTTTGTGAAGTCAAGTGCAGTGTTTATTATGAGGCATCAGCCAAGGAGTTGGAGACAAATAGTGCTTAGAAAACTTGAACTCCCCAATGGGTTTCAAGACAGCATTTCTAAAGGCCAGGTGAGGGAGGGGGAGTCACAGAGCATATGATCGGATTGTGCACAATTCTGACTGGTTGATGGTGAGATCCTAGGACTGTATCACAGGGGTTAACATTATCAGTCCTTAGGCTTCAGTGGGCTTGGGGGCTACATGCTGTAATCACATAGTTAACTTCTCCCATTTTTAGCATCTATAAAACAACTCAGGAAAATGTACATCAGATATGATATTATCTAGGTACTTCAGAGAGGAGCTAAAGTAGAGGATATGAGGATATGAAGAGTCTTGCCCAGTTACAGTTTCCCCCTTTTCTTTGAGACTCCTTAAGCTTGAGGAGAACAGGTGTTGGACAAAAAAGGGAATAATATTTTGGATGGAGAGGTTAATCATAAACTCAGCAGAGGAACTAGGTTTTAGGGGGACTCAATTTCAGTTAGGCCCTTATTTCCAGTGGTGTGAAAATGTTAAAGAAACACGTGGTGTAGACTTATCATGTATTTAATTAGTCTTTGATGGCTGACATTTCAGTTTAACATTCATGTTTCACCTTTGTGACTTTTTTCCTTAGGGGGAAGCCAATCAGAGGCTGAAGTCAGGCGGAGACAACAGCTTCAACTGATACAATCTAAATACCAGAAGAAGGTCAGAATCCATCTCTTTTAGCTTAAATTTGGCAAGAAATTAGAGTACCAGTACTTTCAAAATAACCATGAAATAACACAGTAACTACCAAAAAGCATAAAACCTTGAAACAAATTGCAAAAGAAAAATCTCAAAAATCAAAGAAATCCAGATGTGAGAAGCAAAGGGATAAATACTGTGAATTCTCCATCCAAGCTATGTATCAGTCAGTGGGACCTTGGTAAGGGAATTTCCTCCACCCCAACCCCAGTGTAAGTCTCTACTATGGTTTGAATATTTGATTCCAGGAGCATAGATTTGTTTACTCCATTCCAGTCATGAAAGCATGATAGTAGTACAAAAAAAAAACAATGTTTTTTTTTTTTTTTTTAACAAGGAACTCAGGTTGGGTTTTTTTTGGTTTTTGGTTGTACCAGGCAGCATATAGTTGCCCAACCAGGGACTGAACCTGCGTTCCCTGCATTGCAAGACAGACTCTTAACCACTGGACTGCCAAGGAGGTCCCTGAAGTCTGAGTTAAATACTAAGGAAAAATTACCTGCCCTTTCTTCTCCCTAACCTGGGCTGGTGGTGGGGGTGGTTTGGGGCCTGTGGAGACAGAGAAACAGATACCAAGGTAGAAACACAGATAAATTTCATGGGCAGCAGATATAGCTTGACCATTTTCTGTGATCTAAGTAGCCTGCAGAACCAACCTATAATCATGGTGTGCCATAGCACAAACAATACTGTAATTTGCCTTTCATCATAATTTTGTGTTCCAGGGGTTCAGGCAGAAAAATAGTAACTGCTTTTTGTCCTCTGTAATCTCAATACAATTTAGCTAAAAAGAGAAGAATGTCTAAGAATCAAGAAGGAAGCTGAAGAAGCTGAAGTCCAAAAAATGAGGGCAGCTCAGAGAGAGAAGGTAGGAACTGGAGAAGATGGTAAGCTAACATTGACCTAGGGCTTCTGATGTGCCAGGTTCCCACACGGTTCATATACAAAGTATTTAATCCTCACAAGAGCCTGTGAGGTATATAATATTCTTGTTGTCCAAGTTTGCAAATGAAACTGACAGTTCAGTTGCTCAGTCATATCTGACTCTTTGTGACCCCATGGACAGAGGATCAGATAACTTGCCCAAGGACTCACAGCCAGTAAAAACAAGAAGTAGGATTCAAATCCAGGCTGACTGGTCTCAGAGCTAGTGTTATTATTATTATTTTTTTTAAGTAATTTTATTTTCTTTATCGGCCGTACCACACGGCATATGGGATCTTGGTTGCCCAACCAGGAATCAAACTCATGCCCCCTGCACTAGAAGCATGGAGTTTTAACCACTGGACCACCAGGGCAGTCCCAGATCTGGAATTCATTATCTTCACACTCTCTCACCTCCTCAGGCGGGTGGTCAAAAGAGCAGCTGTGTATTTGGCCAGAAGGCACAGCTACTAGTGACAACGGCCACCAGTGGTGCCCCATCAGGTTTACGCACAAATATTGAATTTTCCAGGCTGAATGTTAAATAGGTGAACATATCCTTCTCACTGGTAAAAGAAAAAGCATGCATTTGCATTTCAGTATTAGTGATATGATCTAGTTTAAATCTCAAAGTGATGTTTTTAGTTTTGATCTTCTTTCTGGGGCTTGCGGGGGAAAGTCTCTTGAAGATGCTCATTCGCCAGAGAAGGAAGAACGTACAGTTCTTCTGTCTGCCTCCTCCTCCTCCCATGCCCCGTGAAGTCCTAAGCTGTCATAGGTTTTAAGTGTTGGAGGTTTGGGGGAAAGAGGTTGACTGATGATACTAGTGACCAAGTATGATATCTGCTATATGTATAAGTCATGAAAACACAATTCTTTTTCCTGCTGTCTCTCTCTCTCTCTCTTTTTCCTCTTAAAGATTGGGTGTTGGTCAAAACTTTAACCTAGTTACCAAGCAATAGATATCTTTACTAGCTAGAGTTGACAAAGCCCAAAGCTGATGGCTTATAGTATGCACAAGAATGTGAGTCTTCTTTCACCAGGGAGCTCTATACCTGGCTGGAGAGGTATATTTCTTGGAAGGTGTCCTCTTGCACTGTGTGACCTTGGACAGGCCCCTACCCCTCTCTGAACTGTTACTGTAAAACGAGTCTGTAAGCTCCACCTTCTTGCTCCCAAGGCCAGGAATATGTGTAAATACAGAAATGCTACATCTGTAGAGATGTAGGCTGTGGGGTAGAGATAAGATTGGACATGTACACAAAGAATTGAAATGAAATGCTGGTGGTATTAAAAAAAGTATAGGCACTTTGTTTACTAAATTTGATTCAGCAATTCACTTCCAAGTCATTAGCTATTACACCTTCATTGAAAAGATTCTCATAATAATTCTTTTTAAAACCTATCTCTCTCTCACTTCCTCTCTATTCCTCACTCTTTTCCCTTCAAGCCCCCCCCCCCCCGCCCCTTCCACCCCATTTCCTCCTTTAGAGGAAGGTTTACACTTCAGTCTCAAGATTGCAAAGGAGGTATTCCCTTTATATAGCATAGACTTTTTGCATTTCAGGTTGAACTCAGAAAATCATCAAATAATCACCAGGAACTAATTAAGAGGCTTGCAGATCCTGAAGAATTGTGTTGTGAATTCTTATCCTAAAAGTGATTTACTAGTTGTCATTTAATAGCCATAACTGGCTGGCTTGTGGGTTATTTATAGGTCATTTCTTCGTGGTTCAAATAATGTACTGTATACTATTTAGAAATGTTAGTGGCCAAAACAGTTTTTTTAATGCTGAGTGAAAGCAGTATTCCCTCCTTCCTAAGTTAGACCATACCGCTAGTTGTACAGCCATCATTTACTACAAAAATCTTAACTGAATTGGCCTTTCTAAAATGATAACTATAATGATTATTGGTATAAATTTGTCTAAGAGTAACAGATGGGGAGAGAGAGTTGATATATAGATCCTTCCCATTCAAAACGCAGTTTTTGAACCAGCAGCCTTGGAGTATCACTTATTAGAAATTCAGGAACTTCCTTGGTGGTCCAGTGGTTAACAATCTGCCTTGCAATGGACACGATGAAGATTTGATTCCTGGTAGGATAATTAAGGGGCTTTCCTGGTGGCTCAGCAGTGAAGAATCTGCCTGCAATACAGGAGACTCGGGTTCAATCCCTGGGTTGAAAAGATCCTGTGGAGGAGGGCATGGGAACCCACTCCAGTATTGTTGCCTGGAGAATACCATGGACAGAGGAGCCTTGGCGGGCCACAGTCCATGGGGTTGTAAAGAGTCGGACCCGATTGAAGTGACTGAGCATGCATATAGGATAACTAAGATCCCACGTGCCACAGAGCAGCTGAGCCCGGGTGCCATAACTAGAGATGCTGTTCACCGCAATAAGATCCTGATGCTGCAACTAAGACCCGATGCAGCCAAAGAAATAAATATTTAAAAAAAAGAGATGCAGAATCTCAAACCCCACCCCAGACCTCCTGAAACACACCTGTTATTTTAACAAGCTCCCTAGGTGATTCTTGCGCACATCCTGGTTTGAGGAGCATTCATCCAAACTGCCTTGAGAGAGATGGGGCCGCCCACTCTGGCCCTTCCACAAACTTGATTTCTCTGGCTAATTGGCTTGGACTGCTACCCTGACCTAGTTTTTCCTACTGTATATAAATCTGAGGCTTTCATACTAAATGTGAGCCTATTTAGTAGCTTGTGTCAGATAAAAGAAAAATGGACATTAGCCATCTCGAAATGGCATGCTTCACAATGCCAGTGTGAAAATGGCCAAGGGAAGCGATAATGGCTGTGCTTATGGAGCATTTATTCTTTAAAATGCACAGCAAACACACACATGGACACCAGCGTACAACGCCCCCCTCCTCCCCAGGCTGCTGTCCAGGAACCACAAACCAAGGAGAACCCAAGCAGCCTGCTGCCACCTGAGGACTTCCAGCGTGGCCCATTGGTCTTAACACCCCCTTGGCCTTTATCTTGTCCTCTCCAGGGAGGGTCACAGGGCTTCCCAGGTGGCACTAGTGGGAACCTGCACCAGCACAGAAGCTGTCTGCCAATGCAGGAGATGTGAGAGACGCAGGTTTGATCCCTGGGTTGGGAAGATCGCCGGGAGGAGAGAATGGCAACCCTCTCCAGTATTCTTGCCTGGGAAGTCCCATGGACAGAGGAGCCTGGTGGGCTACAGTCCATGGGGTTGCAAAGAGTCAGACTTGACTGAAGCGACTTAGCACACACGCACGCAGGAGGGTCACCCAGCAACACCGGGTCTCTTTCTGATTGGTCAGCACCTGTGTGTGAGTGAGGGGAGAGTAACCTGCATTCCCTGTATCCTTAATAAGCACAAAGGTATGAAAGGCAGCCAGTCCTTCAGCATCTGGTCATGTCATTGGCGTCCGGGAGGAGTTAATCCTGCGGGCTCAGGGGAACTTAGGAGAGGGCACCGGGATGCTTCGGGTAAACTTGGATTCTCTATACTAGGGGATGTTGATGATGTGTGCTCTTCCAGTGGTGTACTGGGACCTCCTTGTACTGGCTCATGACAGTGGATTGTTATATTTTTGTGAGTTAGTCGACTTCATGTTGGTAGATTGAAACTGACCACAAGGGGGTATTTTCACCACTGGAATCAGTAAATGCTACAAATCAAACACCCTTCTGCTCCTTGCTAGAGCTAGGTGTTACATTTATCAGCACACCACTGCTTCACCCTAAAGGAAATAAGACCTCCCTCCCTCTCTCCCATTTTAAAACCAAGCCTCAGAGGGCTGTTGGGGGTAAAGCTTCCGTGAATTATCTGGCATGTTGCGTATCTGATTTAAAAGTGGATTCCAGCCAGAATAACGCCCCCTCCCCTGCTCTTCCACACTCGAATCCCTAGCGCCTGGGAAGATGTGATGTTATGTGGCAAAGAGGAATTCCGTTTGCAGCTGGAATTAGGTTACTAATCAACTTACATTCCAATAGGGAGAAGGGCCTGCATTATTCAGCTGTGTCCAATGTAATCATGAGGTTCCTTAAACTGGGGAGAAGGACACAGAAAATTGAGGGCATAAAGATATGGAGCAGGAGAAAGATTTAGCCTGCCATTGTTGGCTTGAAGATAGAACAAGGCCACTGGATAAAAGATTAAACCTATAGGTAGGAGCTACAAAACCATAACTATGGTACCCCTAACTCTACACTGACCAAACAGATGACTGGCACTTAGGATAGCAGAACATACAAATAGATGTGATTTCTGGAAAAACAGTTCTTATCGTAGGGGTAGAAAGAAGTAAAAACTCAGCTGTAGTCTTTGGAGGGCACTCATATTGCTAGCTACCTGAAAGCCTTGTGGACATGACAGCTGGTACTGGAATCTGCTAATTTCCCTCAACCTCAGTATATTATCTGAGCCCCATGAGACCCATTTTGGACTTCTGAACTCCAGAACTGTAAGATTATTAACAAATTTATATTGTTTTAAGCCACTAAGTTTATGGTTGGTATAGCACCAACAGAAAGCTAATACAATCCATGTGGTTATATAGTGTATTAATTTCTCTTCTTGGAATATATATGGAAGAGAAAATATCTCTAAAATATTAGTGCATCAGTAAAATAAAGTTCTTGGAAAAAGTAAAACCACAGCATAACACATGCAAGTACTTGCTTTGTCACTGGATCTCAGCATGGTAGACAAGTTTTCAGGAATCATCATAGCAAGTCTTTCACCCAAATGCAGTGCCATGGAAATAAACCTCCACCACACTTTCCCCTCACAATCACATTGATGAATTAAGTAATAATTTGATTTTTTTTCAGACTTTCATAATGCCCACAAACTTAAAAAATAAAAATCTCCAAGTCCACATCAAAGACCTTCTTTACCTCTTGGATTTATCTTATTCTGCTTTTGATCAACACATGTTTGAAATA